CTTTTGTGTGTATCCTGTGTGGCAAAGGCTGCCATTCCCGCATCGGACTTTACAGTCACAGCAGATGCTGTTCCCAAAGCCAGCGGCACATCTCCATAGTTCCCCGGGACTGACGGATGCCATTATGTAGTCCGTTGCCAAATCATGATGTAGTTTCATGGTATAAAGTGCCTTGCCCAGCCATAACTGGCTTTAAATTCACTCTGAGGAAATCCCAAGATGTCTGATAATTGACACGCTTCAGACTATCAGATAAATAGTTCGCTTCAAACTGTAATATTTCCACCGACACAGAAAATCCATCTGGCCTTATGTTCTTGAAATATTCCAGCAGATTTGTTTCTTCTTCCGGGTCTTTCACCATTTTGCACATAAAAATTGTTTACTTTGAAATGTTTTTAATAGCATTTTGCATTCCAATCCATCTTCACAATTTTTTTTTTCTCATCTACATCGAATTTCCTCCCACCTGCTCTCTGTCTGTTTTCTTGGGCATAACAGTCTTCTTGCAACTTAAATTTACAACTGTAACTTGCTCTTACACTAGCTATCTTTCACTGTTTACAGGTACTACTTTTTCGATTTTTGTCACTGGACAAATTTCTAAGAAAAAAATGTTTCTTTTAAAATTGTAGTCTCAGAAACGAGCTGTGGCCTATACACGCTTAAATACGGTACATGTTCATCTTGCCTTTCTCTGGAATGTCGATTGTCATTCACCTCAACATCCTTGTTTTCAGACCGTTGTGGTCTGTTCACTTTTCTGTGTTGGTTCACGTACCTCCTAAGGCCATTTACGATTTTTGAGATAATGAAACCCTGCGCATTCTTCTTGGGTGCACGATCGACACCTCTTGTGCACCAGTGGGATACTTTCTTGACTTTCTTACCATGAACTACAGAATCAAGGTTTGGAGGGCTCGTGAATCCTGAAGATAAAGCCCAAATCGGAAGCGCTCATTACACTACATCAGCAAAAAGAGCAACAGGCTAAAAGGATGAAAATCATGTCTGGGTAGGGAAGAGGGTGAATATCAAGGAGGTCTGCAGTCTTAAAGACTTCCGCTCTGACGAGGAATGGATACATCTGCCTAAAGCGCTCAGTGGCACGTTTTCCTTTGTCGTCACGCTTGATATGAGTTGTCGGGAGTTGAATCCTGTTGTTGTCGATACTCAGGTCCATGCGCTGACAATTCAGATGAGGTAGATAAGCTGAACTAGATAGTACAGAGACAAAAGATTGCATCAGCATTCACCTCTCGCTCTGCAGGTACAACAGTCCCGGAAGACACCGATGCTTTCTCTATGACTGCTAGCAGCATGGCGATGGGAGTGATTGCGGTGACACAAGCTTCTGTGTCGCTGGAATCACATACGTGCTTGCGCCTGATATTATCTATGAACATGATCTAGCGGGTCGAGGCTGGCTCTGTAAGCAGACAGCGGATTCAGTCATTGTGAAACTCTACAGTGCTAGGAGTTACCTTCATCCTTGTCCCAGAGCGTGCAAATGTTGTTGACAAGGAAAAAGCAGATAGTTGCAGATGGCCAGCATATGGATCGCGTCGACACTGTTAATGCCCATAGAAAGAAGGACGATCGGAGGATTTTGGGAGTAGCGTGTCCATGTCATTGATAAGAATGGGAGAATTGGGGAGTGAAGATCTGCAGTCGGGCATGAGAGTTACATTTGACGTACAAAAAGTCTTGTTAACCAGCACAGGACTGGCAGTATTAACCTCGGAACACTGATATATATGTTGAAGGGGAGTGTGAGTACCCATGACTATGTCTGGAGTGTCGCAAAGATAACCCAACTCATAAAAAATGACTCAATTTATAACTCATTTACCCTATTGACATACATCAGTCACTACTATCCTGTGATGTAGGACCAGCCAGTTTGACTGCTGGTACGTTTTCAAAACACCGGCAACCGTAGTGCATTCAGAGCGAGCGAGCGAGAGAGAGAGAGAGAGAGAGAGAGAGAGAGAGAGAGAGAGAGAGAGAGAGAGAGAGAGAGAGAGATCTTTTAAAAAGCGGCAACCAACATTCGACGTTGATACGATACTTGACTGTTTGACGAGAAAATACTGGCATTTAGTGTGCATTCCATCCATACAAGATAATACACATGTCGCAATTGTAATAGATTCTGAAGGCATGCTGAGAAAGGTGAAGAGAGGGATGCTTCGAGCAGAGTGGCAAGCTTTTGTAAAGGTCACGGGTAGTGAGCGTACTTTGGATCTTTTTTTCTCTCTCCAGGCTATGCCGGCGTAGTGGGTAATAAACAGGCAGACAGATTGGCTGGATCTGCACCACTGGGTAGTGAGTTGATAAATGACAAGGCAGATGTGGTCAAGGCCTTTTGGGAACAAGCGACGGAATCAGTAGAGAAACGTGGCGCGGTGATTTATGTCACAGGCGTGAGGGGAAGTTAAGTCCAACATGATGTGTATAAGGAGATACTCCGTACGTCACTCAGGCGCCAGTCCTTAACTATCCTGGTTGTACGGAACCTCACGCAAGACCCCTACAGCACGTCCTCGGATAATGTCTCAAATGAGCATTAACAGAGCTGTCAGGGGATCTCGGAGTTCGGCGGCCCCCAGAGGTGATGTGTCCCTGTGGCTCTCATCAGCCCGCCCCCAAACGCTTGGGTGAAAAATGTTATCAAAACTCATTAGGAACATGAGTAGGTTTGCCAAACGTACAGCCAAAATTACAACCCTTGGTTAAAAGACTGCGGAGTAAAGAGAACATTGTTCACTGCACATCCTTTGTTAACCCTCAGTGTCGTCGTCACCGCGCTGAGGTACACCACAACAGCAACCATCCATAGGCTGGCCATCCTTATACATCCTCGGTTAACCCCCAGTGTCGTCGTCACCGCGCTGAGGTACACCACAACAGCAACCATCCATAGGCTGGCCATTCATGTACATCCTCGGTTAACCCTCAGTGTCGTCGACACCGCGCTGAGGTACACCACAACAGCAACCATCCTAATTGTCCGACAAAACTAGATCATACGGATCAAAATCTGACCATCAAAATTTGTATTGAACTGAAAAAGACCGAATGTCCACACCCAAAGACCCCACTCGCCCGAGTGTTGGGACAAAACTGATAACGATATGCCTGATGCAGGATGTAAAATTCTGTCGGGCTAACGGCTCGTCAAAGAAATCTAACGTGCGAAGAAAAAAGAATGTACCTATCTGTGTGGTCACAAAAGTCCAAAACCCACGGGCTGCTCCCCGCCGACTTCCAGAGGGCGCAGCCCCTGTCGAGCGGGAGGCCTGATACGGTTGTGAGGTTAAGCAGGCATGTGCAGGACGTGACGATTCCTTGGGTGAGCCCAGAACCAGAGCGCCATGTGCCGGCTCTGCATGCATGGAAGCCTCCTTGGATGGCGGGGAATGCCCATGATCTGCCCCTGCCTTCCCTTGAGGGCTAACTGTTCCACAGGGGGCTGCCCCAAAGGGGTACTCCGAGGGCAATACCTGCGGAGGAGACAAAGTGGACACCACACAAATCAGGCAACGTCTCGACCCACACAAAACAATGGCCACAGTCAACCTAGAAATAGGCCCGACGTCTTCCTTCGAAGTCGGAGTACAGCTGCCCATGAGGCAGGGAAATGAAAAACGGTTGTACACGCAAAAATCAGGTCCAGGTGAAAGCCAAAAGTCCAAGCGGACGATTAACCGGGACCTTCTACTGGAATTCACAGCCGGTGATCGATTAAAAAAAAAAAAAAAAGTAGAGAAACGAGATTATTATGGCCTGGAGATAATGAGGCACCTGGGTGTTACCAGAGGGTCTGGCTGACTTACTACACTCAGAGGAAAGGCAAGACGGAAATCAGTTGGGGGGGGGGGGATTATGGAGTAATGCACGTAACACTATTATGTAAATTTTTTTGACGTTACAAGATATATCGGGCTCTCTAAAACAATGCTACAGGGCTCAGTAGAGGAAAAGAGGCTGACCAGGAAAGACCTAGATACAGAACTTGGCTCCCCCGTGTGGGTTCCGGGGCCCCATTGTGGGGAAAACAAGAATAGACCCACTGCCTCCCCAAAAGCATGTCGTAAGAGTCGACTAATTGAGGAGCTTCCTTTGAAGTCGGAGTGCATCTGCCGGAGAGGCAAGGAACCAACAGTCTGTATTCAAGAGAATGAGATGTGTAAAACTGATGCACACGCAACACTCAGGTTCTGGAGCAGGACTGCAGTTCAGTAGTGGAGGAGCAACCAGAACCTTCCGCCAGAGTTTACAGCTGGTGAACGCGAAGAAGAAGAAGAAGAAGAACTTGGCTGACTAGATAGGTCTCAAACATAGTCTGTTGCATCTGACCGACAGGTGGAGTCAACAGCAAGTAGCTTGGCGACTGTGAAGTCCAGACGAGCCAGAGCTTGGCTGATATACTGAATACTCTTCGAGAAGTAATACGTTTGCGAGAACCAAGTGCTGGAATCTGCACCACAACTAGACTGAAAATGTGTTGTCAGATAAGAGCACTATGCTGGAAGCCAAATAAGAATAGGAAACCAACATAAAACTGGTGTCATCCACTACTGCACGTTGTGGAATTTATTGTATGGGGGGGGGGGAATAAGTGGTGGGGGAGGGGCCTGAGCACTTATGGACCGAATCGTTCGACTTGCAGTGAGGATATGTGATGAACTGACTTTCACTTATTTGCGCAAATTTTAAAAAGTAGAAGTATAATCAAACGAAACAATTACATTTATTGTTTATTTTACTTGATGTTCAAAAATTTACTTTTTATATTCACTGTAATTATAATAAAATATTTTATCAATCTACCTATGTAATATTTTATTATATTTAATTTAAAATATTTTGATTACAATTTCTAAAATTGTTCCAGCTGAGTAGTAGCCATGCACACTTTTATAGAGAACAGCTGACCCCGTTACCTATAACCTGATTTTGGATGATGGCAGAACTACGGAAGCACACGACCTAACATGACGACTCTCAAAGTTGCCGGCTCCCTCGGCACCGGCCTGCTGTCAGGTAATCATGATTAATTTCATCGTTCATTCACGTACACATGTTAGAAACGATTGTGAGCAGAAATGTGTAGTGAATGGCATTTGTAAGCGGTTACTGGAATGACCTTAGTATGGTCTGATGGTGCTCTGAGTACTCTGACGTAATGAAATCAAACCAGCTTCTTTTATTTACATAGTAGCGGACCCAGCAACACGTTCTGCCACTTCATTTGTAAAACATACGCACAACAGTAATTAATTTGGCTAAACATAATTTGCATCATTGATTAATTCCATTTTACGCTGAAGTGTGTGCGTTACTTACAGTGAGGACAAGAATAGTGTAGTACTTTGCCGTTGTTGCTCTTATTGAACTCGAAAATAACCACAGGTACACTTACACTGCTGTACACACGCACACCACACACATTCTTGTAAATTAAATTTACAGGTGAGTCGGGGTTCTCATTACAATACACACATTTTTAATTAAATTGCAAAATCTAAGGATAATTAAAAAATACACACCTCTAAATCCCCCCCCCCACACACCACACACACACTAACTAGTGATGTGTGGCATCATCATCAGGTGCCATACTGAAAGGTGGCAGTTTGCATGACTGAAAATTACAAAGCTGTGGCTTCATAATAATGCTTAAATAATTATGTTAATTAAATTCTCTTTAAAACTGGAACACATTAGAGGGAATACTTATTACAACAACCTGATATCACAGCCACATGAAATTAGAGACTACATCATGATTGACACAGTCACTTGTTAGCAAACAAAAAAAAAATTACAAATTCACATAATTTCTGTAGGTGATTTTTTTTTTCTCCAAAAAAAAAAAAAAAAAAAAAAAAGGCAGTGGCAAATTGTCAGCAGGTGATGTTGATTTGTAGAGATATATTCTGTGTTAATGGTCTTGTTGTAGTGTACTCCCCAAACAAAGGTGCTAGAACCTGGGGGTTCAGGCTTCATGAGGCCTATCCTCCTCCCACTAATTTTTAGAGAGGGCTAGCCATCTGCTGACAGTGTCATTCATAGTACAACCTCAGTGGCTCCAGCGACCAAACCCAGGCATCTCCGGAAAAACGACACTTGTGAACCCAATGAAAAATCTGTGAAAGGAACCCACCCCCTTTAGTGCTTGAGGCAAATGGCTTGATCAGTCTGTCATGGAGTACTCTGAAAGGTGCAGTATGCAAGTATCACAGCTTTACTAGAAGTGGGCATGGCTCAACAAATGTTCTTTTTATGATGTGTAAAGATGAAAAGGTGGTTTTAGCAGAAATCTTTTGTCTCATCATGTTTTATGTTGACACTTAAATATTCATTTTAAGCAGTGTTTTTTCCTGTGTTCTTGTCCTGAAACATGTTGAAATGTCATGCAGAGTTCACCTATTGGCTTTGTTGAACAAATAAATGTTTGATCCAACAGGAAGGTTCAGTCTTCTGTACTGCAGAGTTTGTTCAAGTGCTGTTAGTAACACACCTAAACATGCCAGGTAATACAGTTTGATGAATTGTTGATAGTTAGATAATTAGAGACAGAGAGTGAATAAACAGATGACTTAATGAAAGTACATAGAACACGATTTTAGAATCAGCTAGATTATTGAGTTGTATAGTAGGTTCTTAACTTTGTTCTGAATTGGGGAAGAAAAAAGTTAGTAATGTGATGAACAGGTTAGCTAATTTTTCCATTGCCATGAAACCTGTTACATTCTTAGAATGACATGCCCTTACTGTATGCTATTTTGAATTAGATTCATTTTTTTTTAGTTTATTTCGTTATCAGTTGAAGATGAAGGTGGCTTAATTATGTGCTTGTTTACAGTTATGTTGGATCACCCATGTTTATGTTTTAGAAGACCTTATTAAGGACAAGAATCCAACAGTTTGAACCAGATTTGAGACTTGTTATTGTGTGACATGGTGAACCATCCTCAACCATGCTTATCTACATGGCACATGATGCTATTAATGATGATGAATAATGCAGAAGTTATTATATGTATCATAAAAACTTTTAAAGAAAAGAAAAAAAGGAGAATGACTCATAAAGGATGCCTCACCTATTGTTTTGACATTATATATATATTTTTTTCTAGGAGATAGTTATTATTAAAAATTACACAAGCAGAGCTGATGTGTGTGTGTATGTATGCATGTGTGTCGTAGGACGTCTGGAGAAAGTACTGGGTATACTTTTTGCCCTAATTATATTTTTTTCCCTTTAGTATATGTTAAAAAAAAAATCTGTGTGTGCAGTTACCTGTGTAGGTGTTGTTGGCAATGAAAGAGTTGATAGATTGACAGATTCTGCATTAGTTGCAGATGGCCGATGCCCTTAGAGAGATAGGACATTCTGAGGATTTTTGACATGTGTCCACATCATTGCTAAGAATACGAGAATTGGAAGTATATTTCAGCACAGCCAAGTACGACAGGCACACTGGATGCACAAAAAGTCTTGTCAACCAGCATAGGAGTAGCACTATTAACTGCGCGGCACTGATAAATTTGTTGAATGAGAAATCTGAGCACCGAAGGATTTATCCAGAGTGCTGTGAGGATAATCCAACTCATAACTTAAGCAGCTGTAATTAAATGCATTTGATTGTAAATTTCATGCCTTCAGAATAATGTTATTGCTTTTTCTTATTCCAGATCTTACAAGTCTGTTAGTGAAAAATCATACTCAAGTCGACAAGAGGCCAGTGAACCAACATTAAACAGTGCGGTGTACAAGTCAAAGTACCTAATATGTTCAGTGCCCGTGCCTTATGGGGCACTACCATATAATAGTCCTCTAAAATATGGCAGTCACCATGAACAATTCACTTCTCACAATTATTTCCCTTATTCTGTGATTCTAGATCAGAAAATTTTAAGCAACTCTCACTACCAACAGTTTAGGACTTTTCAAACTTCGGTTTCCTTGAGAAAGGAGGAATCCAAAGTAGAGAAGACTGTGAAAGCTTTGAAAGATAGTGCAACCGAGAAGCAGACAGCGCCCGTTGAAGCAGAGGAAACAGCTGTTGTTCCTGCTAAAAAGTCCCTGTTGCAGAAGATTGTTGGAGTCTGCAAACATTACTATCATGGCTTTCGACTCTTGGCTATTGATGTCAAGATTAGCTCCAAGCTGCTGTGGCAGTTGTTGAATGGGAAGACTTTGACCAGAAGAGAGCACAATCAGGTAAGTGGATTACAGTTTCTGAATACAGGCTAAAGAAGTTTTTCTTCACTTTTGGACTCATCAGAGAGAATAGCTGTGAATATACAAGAGAAAGCAGGTAAGTCACCAAAAGATATTTAAAAAAAAAATGAGATTTAGACATGGATACCATTGACATTTTCACTGACATTTTCCATTTATATCAAGATAATCTCAACCTACATTGATTTTTATATTCACTTTCTGCTCCAATCCTTTCAAACCTACAGCATAGAGCAAGGGCTCTGCTTTCTTACTTTCTTAGCCGCTTTGACATCTTAGGCTTAGTCTTTGTTTCTGCCGTTTATTCCCCCAATGGAGCATAGGCCTTCAACCAGACCACCCTATCTTTGCCACTGTGTGAGCTAACCCTCCATGTCCTTTCCCATTTTGTTTTGTTTTTTGTTCTTTTATAAAACCCAATTCTCTTCTGAATGTTTTTTTTCCCCCCTATCTTTATTCTTTTGACCCTGTGGGCTCTATTTCAGGGACATTTACTAAATATATATTGTTATCAGGTTTTCTCAGTATGTCATTTCTAATGCTAGTGTCGTTTTGAATTCAGTGGAATTTTTGTTAGTTCTTTCCCAGAGCTGCTCATCCTCTGTAATATTCTTGACATGGTTATCGCCAATGTAGCTTTTTAGCAGAACATTTATATTCAAGGCTAAGCTTGCTCTGTAAGGCAGATGTTGAAGAAATTTGTTGTTGAGTTTTCTGGTGCATAATTCATGAATGAGCTGAATGTGGTCTGTAATGGAGCAGTAATCTTCCTGTCAGTAGGTTTGGGGTTTTCTTTGAGTTGCATCCTGTAACGTCAGTATAAATTCAGCAGTGACATTGTTGCCTAGCGGACCAGCATAACTCCTGTGGTTGTTCCACAGTAGTAAATGACTTTCTCTGCAGATAGACATTTCTGTTGTTGTTGCTCCAAAAGGTGTTTTCATTGCATTTAAGCTTGCTGTATTTCAAGATTGTTGTAATGCAACAATTATATATTCTTAGTATGAATCCTATTGTCCTTTTTCCTTCATCTAATTTCTGTGAGTCCACCGCAGAGTCACACTTGTTTGAAAAGATAATCCTGCCTCTACTGGGTGTTAATCTCTGACCACTGTTTTGGAAGGCAAGTGCCCTAACAGTTTGTTAATTTGTTTAACACGTGTATAAAAACAGCTTTACATGTGTGCATAATATTCACGTTTCTGTCTTTCTACACAGCTTGTGAGAACCACGGCAGACATGTTTCGACTGTTCCCTTTGCTGGTGTTCATTCTGGTGCCCTTTGCAGAATTTCTGCTGCCTTTCGTGCTTCATTTCTTTCCCCAACATGCTGCCCAGTACTTTCCAGGAATCTAAGGATGAGGTGTGTAAACATAATTTTTATGATTATTTATAAACAGTTTAATTACTTTTTTTTTTTAAAGATGTCTATAGTTTGTTTTCTTCTTTGTGTTCACTGGCTGTAAACTCTGGCAGAAAGTTCTAGTTGTTCTTCTACCTCTGGATTTTAGTTTTGCTCCAGAACCTGAGCATTGGTTGCACATCTGTTTTACAGATCTGACTTAGTAGTATGCAGACAGTTGGTAGTAGTATGCAGACAGTTGGTTCCTTGCCTGTCAGCCAGATGCACTCTGACCTTCAGAAAGTCGACTTTTTTAAAAACTTGTTTGTTGGTTATGCAGTGGGTCTGTTCTTTTATTCACCCCCACCTGGGAAGGGCCAGAACCCACACAGGGAGTGTGTGTGTGTATATATATATATATATATATATAAAACAGTTTTGATGTGCAGGCAGAGATGGTGCTCTTTTGTGCACAAGTGGTTCTTTGCTTTGTGGGGAATTCTTAGGTAGAGTCAGCTGATGTTAAGCAGAATGGAGTCTTTTTTTACAGTGCTTGCCATTGTGGCGTTGGTAATCAAGTCTGACCAGACCCTTGTGTCTTGTGTACCGCAGTCATTTCTGATACAGAGTTCTTCTTTGCCCCGGCGGAAAGCTTCTTCTCTCCTGGTCTTGCTCCTCTTCTTGTTTAGTCTGGTTTTCCTCTTCTTGTGTGTGACAAAATAATGTGTATTGTTATTTTTTTTGGGTACTTAAGAGACCTAAAAATATAAAGGTGGAGGAGACAGCACTTACTGAAACGTTGAGGTACCTAGTTGGTACTTGAGTCAGTAGAGCATTCCTAGTGTTTGATTCCTGGCCATACTTTGTAAAGATAAAAATGGACACTTGTAGTATAAATGGTCACCAAGCACACTCTCTCTGCCGCTCTATTCATTAACCGTGTTGGTATTTCCTGTATGTGGCTGTCATATTGCACCAAATAATTAGTATCTATGGGCCTCTCAAGAAGTATAAAAAATAAGTAAACTAATGATGTAGTCATGTATCAGGATCAGTTGTGATCCAACTATATATCTGCCTAATAGTTAGTCACAGGGAGCAGAAAAAGAGCACAGGAAAGAAAAACAAGGCACTGAAAAGATACTATTCAGAACATAAATAGATAGGAAGAAAATTGAATTGTGGCAGAACTGTCAAATGTGGAGGCAAGGCATACTAGTGCAATGTTAACTACCAGAGTAATGCTTCAAATTATAGAAAGGAAGAGGAAGCATTTTGTGTAGTAAACTAATTCTTTCTTCTTTGCATTCACTGGCTGTAAACTCTAGCATACAGTTCTGGTTGTTCGTCCATTTCTGGACTTTAGTCTTGTTCTAGATCTTGAGTTTTGTGTGCACATTTGTTTTATAGATCTGGTATATTTTTATGCAGGCTGTTGGTTCCTTGCCCCTCAGACAGATGCACTGATATCTTCGAACGAAGTCACTAATTAGGTGACTCTCATGACATGCTTGTTAGGAAGACGGTGTCTCTGTTCTTGTTTTCCCCCACAATGAATCCCCAGAAGCCACACGGGGAGTAAACTAATTGAATATATATGTTCAGCTGTGTGTTCAGCTCTGCATCATTGCTTAAATTAGAGGGTAGGAGGATAATAAAAACAATATCAGTATTGTGACTTAACTTTGGCTTGTCCATATGCATAGGTGTCATATGCAGTTGATAGTTTGAAGTAAGTTTCTAAATTAAAAATTTGAAGAAAAAAAATTATTTTTATGAACTACAATCTGTTTCAATTCCTAGACACTTGGTTACCGAGTTGAACAGCATAGCTGTAAGTTTAGCATTAAGTAAGATAATAGATAGTATAATGCTTTACATAGTAGGCAACTGACACTACAGTAAAATATTGAATGTCTCAAAAGTATTCCATCTGTTAGCATTCACTAGTGCGTTTGCATATTGTTATGTTGTTGTCCCCTGTGTGGTCTTACAACACTTGCATCCCACATTATTTCTTCTACAGCAAGCTGAAAAGGAGAAATTTAAGAAGACCCTGAAAGCAAAAATTGAAATGGCCAAGTTTTTGCAAAAAACCATCAAGGAATCTGCCGTTGAAGCCAAGGGGAAACAGGAAGGCCAGACAGTGGAGTCCTTTGCTCAGTTTCTTGATAAGGTAATTTTGTATGAATTGTCAGCATGTTGCTGATGTTTATTAAATTATTATTCTTCTTCACATTAACCAGTGAAAAGTTCTGTTTATTAAATTATTATTATTCTTAACAATAACCAGTGAAAAGTTCAAATGTTTATTAAATTTTTTTCCTTCTTCACATTAACTGGCAAAAAGTTCTAGGTGTTGGTCCACTTTTGGACTTGTTCCAGAACTTGAGTTTTGCTTGCACATCAATTTCACAGATCTGGCTTATTTGTATGCAGACTGTTGGTTCCTTGTGTCTCAGGCAGATGCACTCCAACTTTGAAGGAAACACTTCTAATCAGTTCTCTTTTGCAACATGATGGGCAGTGAATCTATTCTCTCCCCCTCACACACACACACACACACACACGCTGGGGCCCCAGATCATATACAAGGAGTGTTTATTATAAGGGTCCTAATTCTTTACATAATTTTCATCTTGGGATTTCTTCTATGATGATGTCCGTGTCATGCCAGTATTTATTAGCCTGCTTTTGCCATTTTTCTGTAAGATCTGTTTTAGAAGATGTTCATGTCATGAAACATTGTAGCGGTTGTTTTGTAAAATCTCTATGGAAGAATGCTGAAACAAGTGCCTCAGTAAATGATTGTAGTGTGTTAGTGCTCGCAAAAAACACACACACAAAACACACATTTGTAACAGGTACAGCCTTTCATCCACTCTTTATTGTGCAATCATTTCCTGTGGTATAAAATAACTTAGTCTCTTTTTTATTACATGCTTGTTAAGGGCTGTATGTTTAGTCCCTCCCTCCCCCCACCCCGCACCAAATATAGACTCAAAACCATGTAGGAAATGTTGATTTTTGATTGTATAGAAAGATTCAGAACTGATAATTCCATTCTTTTTTCCCCCCAGATAAGAAAGGAAGGAGTAAAACCGAAAACAAAAGATATTATGAAATTTGCAAAACTTTTCGAAGATGAGATTACCTTGGACAACTTGACACGTTCCCAGCTGCGTGCCTGTTGCATCCTGTTGAATATCACGCCAATTGGTAGCGATGCACTTCTGAGATTTATACTTCAGATGAAGCTTCGTGGTCTTCGTGCAGATGACAAGGTAATTCTTTTGCTGGCCATTGTTTGATAGTCAGAGTACTTTAAAAATGTTATTCTAGAAATTCTCGCGCATGGATCAGAAGTTCGTGGATTCACTCCCTGGTGGAGCCGGACTTTAAAAAAAAAAAGACCTTGACTCCCAGGTCGACCCAGCCATGGGTGGGTACCGGGTGCAGTCCCGTAAAGTAAAGGTGACCAGTGTGATGCTGACCACATCACCCATCTTGTGCCGATGGGTCTATAAAAATACAGATCTAGGCCTCTATGCCCTATGTGCCTAAAGGCGTGGAAAAAAGGACCTTTACTTTTTTTTTAAATTTAGTTTTTTCAATTCTAGAAATTAGGATATAATTGATATAGTTTTAAAACTAAGTTATGTATTTTCAGTTTGATGTTATTTCATTTTTAATATATGCCAGTGAACTACTAAAAACATAGAACGAAAATTAAATGCTTTTGAAAATAAATGCTTGAAGAAATTTATGAACATTGTATTGGATAAACTCAAGACTGGTTAAAAAATGTCTGGACAACCACATACATCAACATTTAAAAGCTATTACTGGGCACATCCTGAGAACAAGCGAGAGGAGGATCGCCAAACAGAGACCCTGAAATGAAAAAAATGCCAGATTGAGGAAGGGAGGACATCCGAGAGAAACCCCGAATTGAGCCTTGCTGAAAGTGCTGGACTGGATGTTATCCATAATATCAGAAGGTTTGCACATGATATAGAATGGGGAATTAGACTGTGAGCCTTATGTGACATATAGTGGCATGACTGGAGGATGATGTTATATGATTCTGATGTTATCTAGGACAGAAAGTGTGTTATAATCCTTCCATCTTGTAGATCCTCTTGTATATAGAGTGTTTCTGATGTTATCCTTCCATCTTGTAATCACATTTCTGATTTTGTTCCATCTTGTAGATTCTTGTTATAGAGTGTTTCTGATGTTATCCTTCCATCTTGTATCTTTGCAAAATTTCCATTCTTGAGATCCTCTTGTTAAGGGTTTCTGATCCTTCTTCATCACTTCCTCTATAGATCCGTTGTTATAGAGGGTTTCTGTTTATGGAGGGTTTCTGAAATATAAGGTAGATCCTCTGATAGAGTCTTGCTCTTCTGGCCATAGATAGATCCTCTTGTTATAGAGTGTTTCTGATGTTATCCTTCCATCTTGTAGATCCTCTTGTTATAGAGTGTTTCTGATGTTATCCTTCCATCTTGTAGATCCTCTTGTTATAGAGTGTTTCTGATGTTATCCTTCCATCTTGTAGATCCTCTTGTTATAGAGTGTTTCTGATGTTATCCTTCCATCTTGTAGATCCTCTTGTTATAGAGGGTTTCTGATGTTATCCTTCCATCTTGTAGATCCTCTTGTTATAGAGGGTTTCTGATGTTATCCTTCCATCTTGTAGATGATGTTATCCTTCCATCTTGTAGATCCTCTTGTTATAGAGTGTTTCTGATGTTATCCTTGTTTCTGAGTTATCCTCCATCTTGTAGATCTTGTTATAGAGTGTTTCTGATGTTATCCTTCCATCTTGTAGATCCTCTTGTTATGGAGAGTTATCCTTCCATCTTGTTTCTTGTTATGGAGTGTTTTCTGATGTTATCCTTTCCCTCTTGTTTATCTTGTTAGTATCCTCTTGTTATAGTAGTCCTCTTGTCTGATGTTATCCTTCCATCTTAGATAGAGTCTGATGTTATCCTCTTCTTGTAGATCCTCTATAGAGTGTTTCTGATGTTATCTTTCATCTTGTAGATCCTCTATCCTTCCATCTTGTAGATCCTCTTGTTATAGAGTGTTTCTGATGTTATCCTTCCATCTTGTTCTCAGTCTACCATGTGCTCTATGTTTAGGTCCTTCTCCTCTTTTAGTGTATGCCTTGTGCGGTGTGACAGAAAACCCAAGCTTTAGGCAATGATGTACAGAAATGCACAGATTTTTATTTATTTGATTTATTGTATTACTTGTTGCTTCTCCAGATGATCCAGAAAGAAGGTGTCGAGAGTTTAAGCATCAGTGAGCTACAGGCGGCAAACAGAGCACGGGGTATGCGGGCCCTAGGGGTGTCCGAGGAACGTTTGAGGGCCCAGTTGCAGCAGTGGTTGCAGCTGCACCTGGAGGAGAAGATTCCTACATCTTTGCTCCTCTTGTCCAGGGCATTGTATCTGCCTGAAACACTTTCTACAGAAGAGAAACTTGGTGCTACTATCACACAGCTAGCAGAAAGTGCTGTATGTTGACATTTTTCTTCATTCTATATGGTTTTTTTTCACAATTCTTTAAATGGGCTCTGGGAGCTATATTGGGGGGGGGGGGGGGGGGGGGGAGACCAACTGTTCCTTAACAAGCTTGTCATAAAAGGAGATTAGTTAAGAATTTGCTGAAACCGGATGTGTTGGATTGAAAGGCACAGATGTCGCAGCCTAGCTGTAAACAACACAGCATGCCAACTAGCCTTTTAGGCGAACGCAGAAGTATGCATAAAATATTTTTGTGAAACGTCTTGCTTGTAACACACAAGTTTTGGTGATATAGTGATTTTTACTATGGATAAAGCATTAAATTGTGTCAAGTGATTAGAAGGACTGTAAATATCAACTTTTTTTTTTATTTTTTACAATAGACAGAAGGCTGTGGGTAGACATGACTGTTGACACCACAGGGCATTGACTGTAAGAAGATTCTTATCCTGTGGCCTTGTCATTCTTATTTTGATGTGTGTGTGTTCCTCTGAAAGATGCTTTCAGTTCTATAATTTTTTCCAGTGGGACATTTTCTCGTGTGTAGGTGCCCACATAGATTAGCTGATATTAATGTTCCCTAGGTAGAGCTAAGCTAAGGGTCACAGACTGAAAAGAGGAAGGTCCTGGATGGCACAAGCTGAAGACACAATTAGACGTGTGTAGGCTAGATACATTTTGGCGAGGAGAGGAGTGGGTCACAGTGTCTGTGCCAGAACTGGCCAGCTGGTGCTGCAGAAATAGAATAGTTCAACAAATGTTTCATGACAATTCCTGCCCAGTGATGATGTGTATTGATAGTTTTGTGTTAAGAGGCAGACGAAGTTCATAGGAAAAGTGAATGGATGTCATGTAGTGCAGTCAAGCCTGGCATATGATAGCACAGTGTCTACTTTGAGAATGGAGATGAAGGCAGTCACTGCTGCCTTCCGTTGGTTTGAGAATCAGCTGTTCACACATGTCATAATTGTAAATGACTCACAGAGCATGTTGAGAAAACTGAGGACTGTGCGTGCAGAGTGGCAAGCATCACTTCAGATATCACTGGTAGTAAGCGGCCTTTGGATATTTTCTGCAGGTTATGCCGGTGTCTTTTAGAAACGTGCAGGCAGATAGACTGGCCGGTTCTGCACCACTTGGTGATAAATTGATGTATGACACACTAGACATTGTGGAGGCCCTTTTGCGAGTGAGTGAACAATGAGGGAGGCACAAAGAGATCATTAAGGTCTGAGGAGAATGTCGCTTTTGAGGAGTTACCAAGAAATCTGGCCGTCGCTCGGCACTCAAGGGAAAGGCAAAATGGATATACAATCAGACAGTTTCTTGTGCCATTGGAGTCCTGAGTACTGTGATGTTGATTCCTAAATCACTGTTTATGTTTTTAAATATGCTTATCATAATTTATAGTTTGTTTTTTTTAAACCTTATTATCATTAATCTGTTTATTTTGTCTGAGATGTATGATTTTAAATGTTCTCTTCACATTCACCGGCTGTAAACTCCAGCTGGAAGTTCTAGTTGTTCATCTTCTTCTAGACTTTAGTCTTGTTCCATACCTTGAGTTTGGTGACCACATCCGTTTTACAGTTCTAGCTTATTTATTTAGTAGACTATCGATTCTTCGCCTCTCAGGCAGATACATTCCCACTTTAAAGGCAACATCCCTAATTAGTTGACTCTCACAAAATGCTTTGTTAGGTGGCACAGCCCCCACCCCCGTGAGACCTTGTAACCCACGGGGGAAAAATGTGTCATTAATGAGAGAGCTAGACAAGGTATTATAAGAAATCAGATAAAAAACACAAGAATTAAATAAGCCATGGGGCAAACGTGCTTACCACTTCTGAAGTGTGTTTCTCTTGTCATAATTGCAATCAAGTATTTCTCATAACCACAACATGGTATTTCTCAGGCTGATGAGGCTAAAGTTAAGATGGCTGAGATGACAGGTGAAACTGTAGACAACAAGACAAAGTTGGAGATCATAAAACACGAGGAGGCTATCATTGCTGCTGAGAAGGAGGCGTTGGCCAAAGAGGCTAGGGTGAGTGAAGTATTTCTATGATAAATGTGCATCTGTTACATAACAAAAAATGTGTATTATGTTAATATATTCATCTTCTACATAAGTAATGAAGAAGAGGAAAAGTATTGACATCTTGAAAGGTCTGAACATCAAGGAAGATTGACTAATAAACAGCATCCTGTCTCGGAAAGCTGAAATAATTTGGTCTTATCAAGCGCCACGACGGATTGGAAAAAATTATAGCAGAAGGCAACCAGGAAGATGGGGCAGGCTCAGACCGACATGAAGATGAGCACAAGATATAAGTGACTCCTTGAGTATGAAAGTACATGAGGCGGGAGAACTGGCGAGAGACCGAGTTTCTTTCAGGCAGACCATGATGAGAGAGACGTTCTGCAAAGGATCTTCTACATGATGAGGGAGGTAAATAATTAAATTAACATATTCATCTACCATAAAACATATAGAGATTATGCTAACTTCATCTACTGCATATCGTAATCATGCTCCTTTTTTTGGCTTTTCACAATCTTCCGTGTTTTTTTTTAAGGATACAATTTAAAAATACATCACTAGACACCCTCCCCCACAAACCCCCCACACACACACGCAGGGTCACACTCACGGCCACCCTCCCGCCATTGGAAGAAGCACATCACCCCAACACGATCACACACACAGTATGACTGCTCTGTCGATACTTCTTCTCCACTCACCATTTTAGACACAGCCTTTCATTTCTTTTCACGTGACATGTCCACATGTTTGTACAACCAAGATAGTTTCTTGAGGCAGGACTTCTAGATGCTGTCAACCCAATCTAGTTGAAATTTTATCTCACTAGTAATGCATTAGTAAGCACAGCACTAGAGTAAATGATGACACCAGAAGGCTGAAGAAGAAAAATGGTAGAAGAAGAATTTAAAAAATAAAAAAGATGCTAGACAGTTTTGGCATCAGGACATTTAAGGACATCTGTATCAGAAACAATTGGAAGTACAGATTTTACAGCCATGATTACCGATGCTAATTTCACAGACTAAAGAACTAGAACTTAGTACAATTGTTGTAATATAGTCAACAACAAGGACATCTGTATCAGAAACAATTGGAAGTACAGATTTTACAGCCATGATTATCAATGCTACTTTCACAGACTAAAGAACTTAGTACAATTGTTGTAATATAGTCAACAACAAGGACATCTGTATCAGAAACAATTGGAAGTACAGATTTTACAGCCATGATTACCAATGTTACTTACACAGACTTAAGAACTTAGTACAATTGTTGTAGTATAGTCAACAACAAGAACGTCTGTATCAGAAATAATGGAAGTACAGATTTTACAGCCATGATTACCAATGCTACTTTCACAGACTAAAGAACTTAGTACAATTGTTGTAGTATAGTCAACAACAAGAACGTCTGTATCAGAAACAATTGGAAGTACAGATTTTACAGCCATGATTACCAATGCTACTTTCACAGACTAAAGAACTTAGTACAATTGTTGTAGTATAGTCAACAGCAGTTCACAGATATTCTTGAATATAGATTTCAGGCTGGTGTGTTGTTGATGCTGATGACCATGATTACAGATAATCACTTTTCTTTTTTTCCCTACAGCTTCTCGAGCAACAAGGTATTCGGGACCAAGCTGAAGCCAAAGCTGCAGAAACTGCTATGGAAGCTCAGTTGAACCTGGATGATACAGCCAGAAGCTTGGAGACATCACCTAGTGAAAGTAGGATTCTAGCTGCAATGAAACATTCTTTAAAAAAAAAATTCTGTCTGTGTGGGTTATAGGGCATTTCTATGTGGGAATAATCACCCAACTTTTTTTTCTTCTATAAGCTTCTCGAGCAAAAGGCGACGGGATTAGGGGTTTGCTAAAATCAGATGTGTTGGGCAGATATCGCAGCCCAGCAGTAAACCAGAACATAATATGTCAACTGCCATTTGAAGCGTGAATGTAGAATAAGAGGAAAAAGTAATTAAAAAAATAATGTCATGGCAGCTTGGCATGTTAGGAATTATGATGCTAGGCTTTTTATTGTCTTCATCAAATGACATCCAGTGTGGTCTTGACTGAATTACCGTTGTCTTGGGGACTCGCCGTGGCGTATCGGCTAGATGCTTGCATGTGAATTGGAAAGGTCGTGGGTTCACTCCCTACCGGAGGCAGACTTTTTTTCCAAAATAACCTTGACTTCCAGGTCGACCCAGCCTTGAGTGGGTACCGGGTGCAGTCCCGGAAAGTAAAGGCGGCCAGCATGATGCTGACCACATCACCCATCTTGTGCCGATTGGTGTACAAAAATATAGTTCTTGCCCTATGTGCTCTATATGCCTAAAGGTGCGGAAAAGGTACCTTTACTTTACTTACTGTTATCTTGGCTTGATCGCAATTTGAATATGAAGATCAGTTACCGATATTACTGGAAAGCAAAATCAAAGAAGGCAGTAGGAATGGTGGTGTGGGGGGGGGGGGGGGGGGGGGGGGGGGTAAAGGGGGGAAAGCAAAAGCCTCAGGTATTGCCGCCTAGCTGCAACATGTCAGCCACCTTTTTAATTGTGAATGCAAAAGAAGAAGAAGCTACAGGCAGAATATCAAAGGTAGTCCCATTACAGTGACTGTTGGTGATGTGTGAAGTGTCAAACCTCATGTGTTCTAAGCCATCACATACAAGATGGGATGGCCATTTCTGTTCTTCATCACTTTTCTTTGCCAGGCAGTTCCCATGCTTTCTGAAAATCACAGTCCAGATTGTAGTGAGGTTGGGTCATCAGTGGATCTGTATTGATTGGGGAAATAAAAATAATCTACCTCTGCTGGGGATCGAGCCCAGATTCCCCTTGTGAGTTCCAAGCACGGAGTGAAAGGAAGGGTAGACTCATTAAGGTAATGTCAAGGGGATCAGTTTCATTGCACTGGGTTTTATCCCCCATGGCTCGATCTTTTCCCCGCAGAACGGCTAACCACCTGCAGAGACTGTCACACAAAGCATGATCATCGTAGCTCTGGCAATGGTCCCCAAGGGTCTCCATAAAAATTGCCCTTGTGAACCAAAGAACACAGTTGTGAAATGAACGAGCCTGGCTATAAACCACAGTACAATTTACCAACCACCATTTTAAGGGTAAACACAGGAAAAGAAGTCTTACACCGATCTCTGATGAGCATCAACACTTTGAATATAGTTATATTTCACTGGCTGAGTTCCTTCTGAAATTTTTTTTATGCATGGCAAGATCTGTCATGCTTGTCTTCAAAGCTTTATTGTGTTCTTGTTTGTAAATTGTTCTGGTTTTTTTTGTCAAGTATTTTTAATTACTTACAGAAAGATGCATTGCAGTCATCAGTATCACATAGTGTAAATTTTGTTTCTTCTCTCACCAGTCCTGATTGATCATGCTGAAGCACTGCAGGCATCCCCAAGTGAGAAACTGAAACAAGAAGAAGCAAACAAGATCTCTGCCCAGGATCTGGATGAGATGGAATCTGTGCTAGAAGAGATAGCTAAAGAGAGAAGGCTCAACATTGAACAAGATGCCTTGAAGGGTCTAAAAGAGGAGGTTTCGGAATACAAGGAGGTAATTGCATTGAATGTTTATCTTTCTTATGAGGCAGTTGATATGTAGAGCATATAATCTATTTTGTTCCATCAAATTGCCGCTCTTGCAAATTTCCACATCACCACTGTCCACAAGTTAGATGTACAAAGCGAGCCCACAATTTAGGGAACAAGTTTAAAAAAAAAATATATGCTTCATATTGTCCAAGCTTGGTGCATGCCAGATGTTCCATATGAGCATCGATCAGGAAGGCAGTTATTAACCAGAACTCATCTCAGAGGACACAGAAGGTAATGGAAGGTTTCTGCCTTTGAGTGCTGAAATGCATGTATGTGATTATTCTGGTTAGGTTTGTTACAATGCACCCCCATTAATTGAAAAGACATTCCTGTTATAAGCAAACCAAACCTGTGAAAATACCCTTTGAAACTGCCAGTGTAGCCTGTGTCAAGACAAGCTTAGTTATTGGATGTGTTAGCCTGCTGTAAATAGTCATAGCACAAATTCCATTTAGCAAGTAAAACAAATACAGGATAAGTGTAGAAGTTATCTACAGTGATATCTTAGAAGTTCAAATGACCCAAAACTCCAAATAACTTGGAATCAGAACGAAATGCTGCCTTAGAGCTCAAATGCCGCCTTGGAAACTGAACACCTGGCACATGCTGATCATGCTGCTGAGCTAACAGTGCAGGAGCTTAGAACCTTCACTAGCAGCAGAAGGAGAAAATGTTCTCCAGGGAGGAAGATGTGTTAACTGGAAGGATTACCACTGCTGAAATACAAGATCTTTTAACCATATGGTTGAAAATGCAGGATCTTGTTGAGAGGTGGCATCCTGATAGAGCTTTAGTTAACAAGTATGCTCATGTGTTCAGTGATGATATTATTGAACATTTTAGAAAAATTGAAACTGGTTGTCCAGCTTCAGAGCATTTGAGAACTCTGACTGACAACAAAAACTAGTGACCCCAAACCCCCCCCCCCCCCCCCCCCCAGTGGTGAATAACTACGATTTGAAACACCCGATAGGATTCTTGATGTTATTTATCAAGGAACAATAATCTCGATAAATCTCCCTTCCTCCTGCGTCTATGTGCTATGTCACCATTTTAATCAAAGTAGAGTCAATTCAGTGTGTGTGTTTTCTTATTTATTTATGTTTATTCAAATATTATCATCATGTATTACTACATTTACACTGTACTGTATTTAAGAAAATACATTTTAAAATGTGAGTTTGTTGGACCTTGGAACAGATTAATTTAGTTTCCATTATTTTTAGTGGAAAAATTGCCTTGGAACTCAACAATTTGGAGTTTGATTTCTGCCTTGGAACTCAACAATTTGGAGTTTGATTTCTGCCTTGGAACTCAACAATTTGGAGTTTGATTTCTGCCTTGGAACGGATTACGTTTGAATTCTGATGTACCGCAGTATTTTGTTACTAAAAACTGCTCACTTCAAAAAGGGTAAAACAACTGTACTCAGTGGTGTTATCTTTGGATAAAATGCAATTTTTGTGGTTTTGTTTTTTTTAATCAGTGATCATATAATTTTTTTTAATTTGACTGGTTCTTATTTCCAGGACCTGGAGGATTTGAAAGATGTGGCTGTAGTTCTTGGAGAGCAGCAAAAGCAGTTTGAGGAATCTAAGGCAGCTCGGAGACTGGCCAAGAAGGTTGATCGCATGATTTCTAGACTGGACACGGTCATGACCGGTCTTCAGGAAGAGAAGAGTAGCATTCAGGAGAAAATGTCCAAGGAGGAACAGACTGTGGAAGCGGTTGGGGATGTTACACAACAGGTCCAAGAAAAAATTGATCAATTCAAGTAGGTGAAATCTGTTAATTTTTTCTGCTCCTCCTCTGCCTCCTTCTTCACCTCTTTCTCTTCTTTTTCTTCTTCTTGTGTCTGGCCTTGAACAAACATCAGTAGTCTAAATTCCCATATATTGTCCCATATTTTGATAAAGTCGATGTTGCTTATACTATTATTTATTGCCCAGCTAATTAAGTTTTCTACCCTATTTGTCTCTGTCTCTACCTTTCTTGCGCCTTATATTTGTTCCCAATTTGTTCATGTTAAATAATGAGTATATGTGTTTTCTTGAATTGCCCAGTTTGTGAATGCAGCCTAATCAGCAATTAGTTCCTGCCTAAAACTGAAAATTTAATTTAATTTGAAGAGCAAAATATAGATTAAGATAAACAGTACTTAAAAAGTAAATCATTTAAATGGCACAGGTACTCCATGTCTTTTCACACATCCCCTAATGTTCTGAATCAATTACTGATGATAATTCTCCTAACAGTGAATGCAGAATAAGAAGACTCCATGCTATAGTCTTACACCATCTGTCATTATTTCACTTATCCTGCCCTGTGCCTCTTCTGCCACTGATCTTTCTAGTCATCACAGTAGAATATGAAAGCTATAGTTGAAGTAAGTAATACTCCACATGTCAGTCAGTCAGTAGCATGTTCTTTGCAGAACTTTGTTCCTACAACAACCTTCCAGAAAACTTCTAGATCACAATCAAGATGTCCCACATCCGAAACACCCATCTGGTGATCATCCACCGCATCTTGCACCCATCTTCTCTTTGGCCTTCCTCTTCCTCTCTTCCCAGGCATATACCCCTCCATTATAATTCTCTCTAAACTTTCATGACGTTTCAAGTGACCAAAATATTTAAATTGTCTGTGTTTTAATGTCTTTATAGCCAGCCTTCTTCAGTTCTTGAAGTATGAATCCATTTGTTCTTTTCTTTATCCATGATATTCTTAGAACCCATCTATAACATGTGTATTCAAAGGCATTTATGCGCTGTTCAGCTTGTTTAGTAAGTGTCTAGGTCTCACAGGTGTATATTGCAATTGGAAAGATACATGCTCTTAGAAATCAAATTTATGTAGTTCTGTCTGTCCCACTACATAATTTATTCAGTTGTTTTAGTCTCTAAAAAGCTATTGATATTCATTGTTTAATTCCTTTCATTAATCACCAATGTTGGTAATCAATGACCCAAGATATTCCGGAATTTTCTCCAACCCTATGTACATTTTAGATTTGTTTGTATTGCTTGTATTTTCAGATCAAACATTATATCCATTAATGAAATGATTGATGCCTTGAAGCGCTTGAAGAAAGTTCCCAGTGATTCCAAGCTGCATCTTATCTTCCAAGTTCTTGATCAAGACAAAGATGGGATCATTGACATCAATGATGCCTTGCGGGTATGTTTCTTTCCTATATTTCAGTTGTCATATATTAGCCCATGGCAGATTTTGCGGAAATCAGATGTTGGGTCAAGAGGTGCAGATATCGTAGTCTAGCTGTAAACCACAACATACTAGCTGCCTTTTTAAGAGCAAACACAGAAGCCTATGACAAGCTTAATTGTTCTGTTTAAAGCAAGGTTCTAAATTTTATTTATTGGGTTGACAGTGCTATTTCATACAGATGGTACACAAAGTCTATCAAAGCTTGCATTTTTAAATACTTTGAAAACCAAATATAGGTCCTAGAAATGTGTAAATACAGAAGAATGGACCACATTGACTGAATCAAGAGCCAAAAAATTTTGGTAGCTTAGAAAAGCTAGGATCATGATCCTTGCATACTAGAGTTTGACCGCCATGGTCTGTTTATTTAAAGAAGAAAAGAAAGGAAAGATTCTCAGGGTTTTTGGACAGTAGTATGGGCATTTTTGGCCATGTAACAAGACAAGAAATATCAGAGACATTGAAAAGTTCTATATATGAAGCAAACAGAAGGGCCCGTACGAGAGCTCTTCCTCCCTTGATGCGGTGAGGCATTCCAGTAGTAGAGGAAAGAAGAAGTATGAAAGCATGTGGTTGGGGCCTTACCGTATAATGTTCCCAAAGACAATAGTGGATGCATTGTAGCCAATCTTCACTGTAGATACGGCACATACTTTTTTAAAAATGATTTATTCTTTATATGTAGTCCGCTATGAAAAAGTGTTTGATAAATGTGAAATTGTGTAGAACAGCGTAAAGTAGTGTATTTTCTTGTTCACAGGTACTGGAGCTACTCAGTCAAGAGCATCTAAAGTTGAGCGCAAATCAGTTAGATGAAGTGCTTCATCTGCTGAAACATGAAGCCATACTGGAGGAAGAAGAGCAAAGGAAGGAAAGAGAGGAAAGGGAACGGAGAGAAACAAAAGAAAAACAAAAAGAGAAAGAACAGACACAGGTCTAGATGTATTCTGTAGTTATGTCGTAAAGGAATATTTGATGTATCATTTCTTTTTAATAATCATCGTGTTGGGAATACAAAACCTAAACGTGCTTTGTAGTTAAGATTTTTTGAATTTTTTAAGACTGCAGAAAATCATTTCATTGCATTGACTGTGTAACTTCCATTGCACATGTCGTAGTTGTAACAGACTCTGAAAGCATGCTGAGAAAGGTGAAGACAGGGATACTTCGAGCAGACAGCTCAATACACTTAGAGGAAAGGCAAGACGGACATATAACCAGATTGCAACCGGTACCATCAGTATTGGAACTCTGCGCTGGCTGCTAAAGATGAGGACAGAGCATGCATGGGAATGCCCCGAGTGCTGTGATATCAGTTCTTGACTCTGTTTAACTTAACTCAACTGTTCCATTGCAGTGAGCCGTGTATCAGTACGGAATTATGTACCATTGATGATGTCTGTCCAAACACTTTCCAGGTCTGATCTATCAAAGCCGCTTGCTCAGGCAATCGGTAAAACCTTATTATTAACATGAACTACTTTGAGAAAACTACACATCTGACATCCCCAGTATGCACACATTTTTTTAAGATGAACTCTTGATTGTTTCGGAATTCAAATTATTGAGGTTTTACTGTATATGTCTACTCCACTTAAGATGAATACACATCCGTTGTGTTGTTGTCCCAAGTCTGTGAATGATGATGTGCTGGTCTGTGAAGACTAACCAAGTCAGCAAATGCTTTAAAAAGTTGGATGTCATCTGATAGTCACAAATTTCGCAAGGCACAAATATGGCACATGTGCTGTAAACAGGCACAGCACAATTACATCCAGAATAAATATTGGACAGATGGGGCCGTGTGGGGTACAGATTCAACATCACAGCATTCAGGACAATCCCATAATCGCTCTGTAATGATAAATAAGGTAACTTACCAAACTTTTGTAGAGCTGAGAAGCAGATGACAATAAATAAATGAGAAACTGAGAAATCATTAACAGTATGAGAATTAAAGTATTGGTGAGTTGAGATCAGTGAATCTTATCCTCTCTTGCACATCACTAAGCAGTGGGTGGTAAAGAATGAGAGGATATTTGTGCAGTAGTGAGTGGACACAAACAGCCTCTTGCACAACATTTCTTTTAGAACTGAGCAATAGATGATTAAAGAAGATGACAAATAATGGAATAAAACAGTGAGGAAACAGGTAAAAGCATACAGATTTTTTAAATCTCATCCTAATATAGAACTGAATAGTGTGTCATGCCAGAATGGGAGAAATAATGGGGTATTATAATGAGGAAGTCAGTGGAAGCATTCAGCTTGTTTCTCATTGTAATACAGAACTGAGCAGTGTGTGATGCAAGAGTGGGAGAAATAATTCAGCAGTATAATTAGGAAGTAAGTAGGAGCATATAACCTTTTATATCTCATTATAATACAGAATTGAGCGGTGTGTTTTAAAAGAATGAATGAAATAATGAGTGGAGGTGTACAGTTCCTTGCACATCATTTTGATCTAGAATTGAGCAGTGAATACTGTGAAAGTAATACATATGTACGAAAGTATGCAGCTTCTTGCTCGTTCATCGATTGAACAAAGTCCATCAATGAATTCATGTTGTTTGATTCTGTACCCATAGTCTCGTAGAACCAAAATGTAATCACTGTAGTCTAATTAATCTGGATCATTTTAAGAAACCTACCTGCCTGTAGGTTATTCATGTTTTTATTTTCTCAGTATGTCATGTTTTAAGGTTGGGACAGTCAAGCAGTTTTCATTTTAAATAACAAAACGGGTGATAAATTGTTCACATTATATGATGTGGAAAAGTTATACACATGGCTTGTTTGATTAAACGAGCGCCAACGAAGCATATTTTTACATAGCATAGGCGCTACTAGCTGGTATCTCAAAGCAGCCAATAACAAATCAGATACCAGATAGCATGCCAGATTTGAATTTGAATTATTTAGACACATTTTTTTTTCCATTTAGAAAAGCCAAACAAATTTGTTAAACAGATACTGTGTCAAATTGTGAGTTGTTTGGTTGAAATGTCTTTATTATTTTGCACTTGTTTGTAAGGAATTATACCTTTTCTGTACTTTGTTTCTTTGTAGAAAATGTTCTGTGCCAATAATGTATTTGAAATGCTACTTTGGTAACAGTTTGTGTTTTTACAAGATGACCTGAAAATGATCTCATGATGAAGCCCTCTTTTGTGGATGCATGGACTTTTACTTTGAATATTAAAACTTGATTCTGGGATCAAGTGGGTGGAAACTTAATTATAGAGAATATCTGAAACCATGAATGACCGATTTCACTGAATGATTATTGATTTCTATAGTAGTAAGCTATTTTTGTGTAGATGTGCTCAGTAATGGAGTAGTTTATTATAGACTATAGACATCATATATGCGCAACCTTGTCATTTAAAAATTATTATTTGTTTCATAATTATTGACGTGTTACAAAGTAAAATAAAGAAAAATATAGTCTGTGACCTGACACCTGTGTTTGATCATTAGTTTTTGTATGTGGTAGCTTTATGTGTTTAAATTGGTAAAAGTAGAGGATTCTGTTATTGTTACGAAAGCCTGGTTTATCATTAGCATGCCAGCAGTTTGAAATGTTCCTGTCCTGAAAAATTTATGTTGTCTAATGTCACAGTCGTGGCTCTCATCCCTGCTGTGGCATTATAATGTGTTGTTTGTGAAGCTGTTTTACATTTTGATATTTAATTTTTCTATTACCTTTGTTTTTCCATTAAATTTAATTTTAATTCAAGAGGTGTGATGAAATAAGAGAAATGTCTGGGCAACTACTGGTAACAACAGTTATAAGACAAAGAGGATGACGCTATTTTGGACACATCCTGAGAAGAAACGAGCAGAGAATCACCAAGCAGGCACTAAAATGGGAAATAAAAGGATTTTTAAAAGTGAGGACATCCAAAAGAAACCCTAAAATGAACACTGGTGAGAGAAGCCAAAGGTGCTGGATGGAATTCCATCCATGAAATTGAAAGCATTGCACAGGATATATCAGAATGGAGGAATAGACTGCGAGCCACATGTAACATGTTTTGGCACAACAGGACAGTGATGATGATGATGCAATCTAATTACAATCACCTATCAACAATTGGTATATGTAAATGGCACAATAGCTAGATACTTGCCTGCTGGCTCAAATATCTTGTGTTAAAATCCACATCATGGCAGACCTTCATAAGCTCCCAGATTGACCTGCACTAAAATAAGTACCCAAAAATGTCGTGGGAATTGAATATATGACCAGATTGATGTTGACCACGTCAGCCATCTCATGTCGACTGGTCTAAACAAATATTCATTTAGCACCATATTGTGCTGGATAAGCCGAGATGGATTTTTTTGGGCTTTAATTCTCATTTGTATTCTTATTTTCTAATAGAAGATTTTTTGGGATTTTTTTTCTTTCCACATTTTAGTTTTTATTATACTTATTGTCCAAATAAAAGTTTTCTTTCTTGAAATGATGTGCGTGTGTTTGAAAATTCATTTTTATAAGCATAAAACGGTTACTATAACCCATCAGTTTAACAGAGTACCTACATAACAGATTTTAGATTTAACTCGACTAGTGCATTGTATTTCTTAATAAATTTGAAACTGGTTGCTAAAAAATGCATTTTCAGTTGCAGGTTATTTCAAATAACTTATTGCAAATAACACTTTCTTGTTTGTTTTCTTGAGGCCTCAGAGACATAGCTTTACACAAGAATGCTTAAAATAACTTGGACTGCCGAAATGAGTAATGCAGATGTTTTAAAAAAGGTCAGGGCTTGAAGACAACTTATCACAAAATCAGACTGACCATGTTATAAGAAGAGGAAAGCTAGCACATGCCACCACTGAAAAGAATTAATGGAGAAAAAAGATAGAGGAAGACAATGCGAGAAGATTTATTACATTCTTTTGTCACGGTATGAAAGGGGGATAAGCACCTCAACTGCTACATGCTGGTGGAGATCAAAGGTTGTGGAGAGGCAGTATCTTCCACTCCAGTCGGCAAGACCTTGATGATGATTGGGTTATTTACAGTTCATATGCTTTGTTTCAGTCTGTCTGCCTTAAGTGGTCATAAAGTTTGTATAGTGTTTTTGCAGTCTGAATTGTAACATTGCTTTTAAAGAACTTTTCAATCACTACATTTCATTATTATAATCTAATTTTATTGTAAAAGTTTTGGATGCAAGCTTTTTAGACTATTTAAATTTGGTTTTTAAACAGTTAAAAAATTTGCTCCTTTGTTAAATTAAATTTAACATAAAATTAATTAACATCTCTTCTTTACTCTACTAAATTAAAGATTTACTGTATTGTAGTACTTCATTCTTTTTTTGTTGTTGAATATATTTCTTAATGTGACATTTTCAACAGGGAATTGTTCTTTCTTGCTTTTTGCAAAGTATTTAACAAATGTCTCTGATAAATATTTGTCTTTAAAGTACAAGTGGGTTGTTTTTGTGTGTCTTCTGTTAATTTGCACATTTTCTTGTAATTTGCCAGGTTTCTTTGGTGTAACTGAAAGAGAATGCGTTGTCTGTGTTGCATGAAATAATGTTTGTTGATTTTAATGTCATATACTTATTAAGTGCAGCCTCAGTGGCCTAGTGGACGTCAGTTCACTTGCCTCCAAGACCAAAAATCCGAGTTTAGTGTTTTTGACTAGTACGTCGGTGGGGGGGGGGGGGGGGGGGGGCTTTAGTTTGGAAAATGACCTGTACAGTTTGAGTTTTTAGGAAAGAAATGCAGAGAAGAAGAATGTGGCCATGCCTGTTTCATATGCCATGGCCCCGTGTGGGTTCCAGGGCCCCATTGTGGGAAAAACAAGAATAGACTCACTGCCTCCCTAAAAGCATGTCGTAAGAGTCGACTAATTGGCGAGCTTCCTTTGAAGTCGGAGTGCATCTGCCGGAGAGGCAAGGAACCAACAGTCTGTAT